TGAATAATTAATAAACATCAATAAATTATTTTGTTAGTTGTAATTAAATGATTTCAATAATTTTAATAAGCCCCCCTTCTAATTGTGCATAGTAGGTAGTCTACTATTATTTAAGATAATATAACTTTTCTTTTGTACTAAATATATAATATATATAATAATTAATAATTAATATATTACATAATTATTTATTGTTATTTGGACTGCTATATTTTTTGATTTTAAGTGAAAATTAATGTTTTTCCTTATGTTTTACAGTTATTTTGAAATGCAATGGCCAATGGACATTTTTTATTGTTGATTATATAAAGACATACGGTATTAGCTAGATCTTTTTTTTAGTTTAAACTGACGACGTCGCAGAAATGCTTTGCAGTACGTCTGTGACGCAGTAGATCAACTATCTAGATCCTGTTCATTAATCATTGCTACCGGAAACCATTTACAAAAGTCAAAGTTGAAGATTCAGGTATTTATGCAGCTTTAAAAGGTATTAGTGGATAATGGCGTAGTCAGGGAAATTGGCTTTTTATGTGTCAAATAATCTTATAAATATAAAATTTATCTCTAGTACAAATAATACAAATTTTATTTTTACAAAGTTATTTTATTTACATTTTTCTTCAAAAATCTCGTCTATACCATTGGTGTACCTACTAAATTGATTTCAAATTTTTGTTATACAAAAATAATTAAGCGTAGAAAATTTTCTCTAAATATTTTCTAGACATGATATAATTTTAAAAATATTTAGGTGACTTGGTACTTTTTATTTTAAATTTCTGTATTTTCTGTTTTTGTTTTTGTATAACATTTTTATTTGCAAGTCAAAGAGATTTAAAATTTAATACAACTTTTTCCTACGTTATTTTTTCAGCAATTAAAAATGATCGAAAATACTCAGTCATGTTTTTTTTACAATTAATTGAAGTTCAAACATTCAAACGAATAATAATGATTTACTCTTAATTATTTTTGTTATTTTTTACTATTAAAAAAATATACTTGTAGACTTTACAAACATTCCAGTATTACAAAATTATTATATTCTATACGTAATGAAATTTTTAAGACATCTTAACAAAAATTTTAGGCTATTTATAAATTATAATACGAACTTTTATTTTTTGCGGTATGTAGGTTGGATACTTACAAATTAATATCAATAACGTATGATATAATAATTTTAAGAAAATAGCATATTTTATGTTTTTGGCAGTTGACTAAAATACCTTACTTCTAAAGTTCTAAAAGCAGTATAAATTAGGTATAAGTAGTACGTAAAATCTAAATGAATGAAAATATCCCTATACAATTTAAAGACACTCACTGTCTTCCTTCAGAATTGTTTTTCGTAAGTGACGATTCATCAGTCAATTACATAGGTATAACTGTATGAGAGTTTTAACTTATAAGACACCTACGTTTTGATTACCTAAGTATATTATGTAATATCTGATATCTATATTATTATTGCTTTTAACATTATGATTTTTGAAGTTAATTGAATTATTGTTATTTAAATAGAATATGGCGATTATAGTGATGGTAAACTAAACGAAAATTATTAACTAAAAAATGAAAACTTATTAAGTGTTAAGTTTAAAACTTTAAAAAAAACTTAACTTTTTATTTACTCTCAATACCTAATTTTTTTTCTTCATATAATAGATATATGTACTATTATAAAAATATATTTACCATATGTGGCCGTATTAAGTTGAATTAAACGGGTAAAATATATCCTGTGTGGACGTTGCAAACCTCCACACACGTAGCTGTATGCATGTATCATAATATATTATATGAATCTAAATCTCCCTATATGTTCGGGCTACTTTGACATCTGAATTTTGTTGATAATTTGTTGAGATTGATCACGTGCGAGAGTTGTACAATACCGCCGGAGTTGTATGCATATATATATATATATATTATCTACCTTACTATCGTTATATGGAAACTTTTGCAAGTAGCATCGATTTTAAACTCGATGGTACCTATATGTTATTTGTACAGTATAAATAATATTATATTATTGTAGCCATTTCTCGGTTTTATAACCTAAAACATGGTAGCCTATCGTACTGTTTGTTTAACGTTTTCAAAATTTGAAACGTACGTGAGCACACTCACACGTATACACACATACGGTAGCGCGTGCGCGCGTGTAATGTATAAATATACATTATTATGATTAATAATATTATGTTTAATATGTCAACTGTTAATATTAGAGGTGCGCGTCCCACACGATGATTTATTATAAACGAGAAAACTGTTCTAAATTATGTATAATATAGGTAAATTGCATAAATACGGTGGGAGCTTATCACGGACCATAGAATCAATACCGATGCTAAAAAATTGAAAATTGAATTGCATACTCTTATAATTGATATTTCATGGAAAATTATAATGTGGAATAACTTCCCATATATTTTAATCTATTCTGTAGCACGAATTGAGGTAAAACCAATTATGTATTTTAAGCGAATTAAAATAATATTATGCAAAACACATATAATGACATCACTATTTTACTAATGAAATTATAACGAACAAAAATGTTAGAATTTTACTATATAGAGCCTTGAATTTATAATGTCCATAACGATGGTTTCTATCACATCCGATGATCACTGTAGTGGTCTGAAATTCAATTTAGTTGGAAAAGTATACGTCTTAACTTAGATATTATAATAATTTATAAATAATGTTCTCTTCTTCTCGTGTAATCTTTGACAATTCCTAAATAAGATTAAAACGGTCTTCAGTTTTGGCCCAGATATTTGTTTATTTGATCTATCGGGTGGTATTTCTGAGTATCTTTCCACCCTGTAATTTCTCACTAATTAATTTATTATAAAAATTAATTTTTGTTTAAATAAATGTATAAATTGAAATTCTGCTTTTTAATAAAAAAATAATTTTCTCAAAGTAAAATTTTACTTGTTTCTAAACTTTATTGAACTTCATATTTTTTTTTTATTATTAATACTATGATTTTATGCATTATATTATTTAAGAAGATATATTTATAATTTATAATATTGTACCTAACTACCACATAGTATGATTTATCATTGATTAACGAATCGATCTTTTTTTTTTTTTTTAGTGGTAATATCATGTGTGATTCGAAAATCAAATTTTAAATATTATTTACCAGTGAAGACATGTTATAATGATTTTTGAATTCATTTATTACGAAAGGTTGATAATTAGTTTTAAATTATTTATTTTTTTAATTAAGTATTTATGTTTAAAATTTAAAAACAATTTTGATTTTAAAATTAAATACTTTTTTAGATTTTTAAAATTAAAATTAACTCACTTTATCACATAGATACATATTGTAAATGATTGTGTTTTTTTTGTGTAATATGTTCTTATAGTTTTATATATTGTACGGTTACTATATACTACGATATATTATATCATGGAATTGTCGAGCTATTATAGTTTCTTATGAACTGAAAGATAAAAAAAAAAAAATTAACTTAAAGTAAAATAAAAGTTAATGTGCATGTGGCATATAATGTGAATGATAAAAGTTAGATGAGTATTTAAAATCTATAAAAAGTAGCACTTACGATAAAGTAACAATAAATATTTATTTATTTACGTATACTTAATCATATTTTTATTGTACGTATTATGATAATGTCGTATATTATTCTTATTTTTATTCTTATGTACTGAGTTCATTGATCATTATTAGGTATCTGATCTGTTATGTTGTTTATGTATATTTATATTGTGCTGAATAGAAATTTAATAAATTGTTCTTTCACATTTTTTTTTTTTTTTTTTTATTAAATTATATTTTTAATTACAATTTTGATAGTTAAATAACGTATTTTTTTAAATTTTTTTTTTAAGAGCGTTTAAAATATCAAGTACAGAGAAATTAGTTTTTATTACAATAATGTTATATGCATAATTATTATTTTTCGTACTTGTTTTGAGAAAACACTGTCAAATTTCTTTGCATAGACACAATTGTTGCGTTTTAGAGATGTATATATAAACAATATAATAGACGTATATTTTTGCCATAAAACGTAAAAAAACCAAAGAAACACTCACAGAAAAACATGTTTACAGATCATTTTAATGACATTAACTAACGAATTAAAACAAAAAAAAAAAAATATTAGAATTTAATATTAACTTAACAATAGTGTATATAATGTTCATTATTGCACATCATAAGCCGATCTTATGTATTAACATACTATATATATAATATAATATATTATTTATTTTAATACTAATTATTACTATATAATACAGTTTATTATTATGACTAAATAATTAGACCCTACCGAAGTAATTATAGGCCTATAGTAGTAAAACGGTTTCGATATATAATATTATATATTATAAATAGATGACATCGAAATTACAACTCATTTCAATATAATATATATTACATACCCTACCTCATTGATTGTCTAGCTAACAACGTTTTCGATTATATAACATAATATTAATTACATAATATAGGTATATATATTAATTTTTATAAAAGTATACATGAATTAGAAAAATACACGATATGAAATAGTATATGGAAATAAATTGTCACGAAGCGTTTGTCCGGCGATCCCGGTTGGTTGTGAAGTTAGAAAAAAAAATGTGATTTTTCAAAAAAAGTTGTATCACAAAGTCATAGACGAAGCAAAACCCTGTTCTCACTTTACACGGTTAACCTATACATCACAATAACCTATGTCGCTGAATGCTACAAATCAAGAATTTTTTTTTTTTGAACAGAGCGGGTAAAGAAAATAGGTTTAACAAGAAAATGTACCTTTTTCATATACATATACGTAAAATATACAAATATATATATAGTATATACATACACATAATATATACGCAATAAACTAATACCTATACAAATATTATAAATGATTACAAACAATAATGGTAATAATATCAATAGTAATAAATATTATTATGGTTTAAATAATTTAACAATACAATATTTATTATATCGGTGAAACGTTGTGCAGTTGCTTGTCGATCTCACACGAGTACGTTGTGTGATTGCGTTTCAGGAAATGGTAAAGTTGTTTGAACGTGGGCCTTAGATTTTGATCACGTTTCCAGCATTGGCACAGGAGCTCGTAAATCTCGGTAGGGCACAGGTTGGGTTTGGGTAATAGTACCTGGAAATGCGAGTTATTCCATAATTTAATTATTGGAAAATATGTATATTATATTGTGCCACGTAGGTACACATTTCATGCGCAATAATAATAATTATATTATTCATTGGAATAGTTCGGAAATATAATGATTTAATATTCACAGACATAATATGTACCTATTATATTTTATTCTTTAGTATTGTATTTCGATTTATTTGATAGAAAACTCAATAAAAGTACTAGAAAAAATTGGCAAAAATTTTATTGAAATGTTTATTAAAATTGACGTGTCATTATAATTTTATTGTATTATTGAAATGAAAAAAAACTCAATAAATATATAAATATATACCAGTTTCTTATATATTACCGTCAACTTTATACATGTAATTAGCGTGACAGATTTGTATGACTTTCTTGATTATTCGAAAACACCAATAATTCGAATTTTTTTTTTTGTCTCTTAAAAATGTCTTTAGACACTAAAATACTCGATGTAATAATGCCATTTCAACAATTCAATGTTATTTAACATGAAAAATACATTAGTACAAATTAATAATTATTCACTTAAAAATTTGAGTTGTTAAGTCGAATGATTTGGAAATGTTGAATGTGTACATAACATATGTAAAACATAATTTATTATGGTATTCATTTTTCTGCACGAACGTGTTATGAAATTGAATTACGAGAGTATAAAATATTTAAAATTTTTGATCAATTTAATTTTTTATACTCTATACTCTTAGAGATTTAAAAATTCATTTTTATAAAGAAATATTTACGACTTCTAGACTTTCCTAATAGAATGTATAGTTTTGAATATTATTACAATTAATTATTTTAATTCAAGTTAGTTATTATTTAATATTATATTATATTAAATTAACTTTGGTAAACCAAAATTAGTTTAATCGTATGTTGTAATAGATCGAATCTTATAATAAAATAGAAAATATAACGCTAAAATTGGATTATAATGACTTATGAGTTTTGCTGGGAAAATATAAATGAAACGAGACCAATGAGTGAGCAAGAGCTTTTTTAATTTTTCAACATTTTGATGGAATACTGAAACGGATTACTGATAAATAATTTATTATTTCTTTTGCATGAACATATTATCAGTAATCCCGCCTATTATAATATGAAAATATATGTTAATAAATATTGTATTACACTGAGTTTTTAGTTGGTACGAACCAATAAATATGTTTTTAATTTTGCGTATTTTATATAACACTTATAATAAAGTATCGTGCTCTAATTTTTTAGGCATACATAAGTTTATACTCACTTGTAGCTCTCCTCCGTAGTACATCTGTTCAGCGTTGTGTATGACCTGCTCATTGGTGAGGTGCGGGAATGGTTTATCTCTAGCCATACTCAATAATTCCCACATTGTTACAGCGAATGACCATACTGTGCTCGGACACGTATATCGATCCTATTTGGAAAAAAAAAAACATGAGTATTAAATTATTCTTATAGTAAAATTTCATCTGGTTACATTCAGACAATTGTATATTTATGGTTGATAATATCTGATTATCTACCCGAGTCCTCTTTTATTCTTCTTTTTATTTAAAAAAAAAATAAACAATGATAATAATAATAACAATTCACTGTAGTGGATATAACATATAATGTCAGAAAATATAATTAAGTAAGAAAAATTGTATTGAAAAAGTTTTCAAGTTACAATATTATGTAATTAAAATGCTTTGAATAAGAAATGCGTAAATACATAAGAGTACAGTGAGCACGAAATTACATTTTTTAAATTTATATATCGTTATTTAAATCAAATATTATCATAAAAAAACAATGTTCTACGGATCTTCATGCAAGAAAATATCCTTATTATGAGGTTTATACTTTGAAAATAACGCCAAATCTTTGTTGAAAAATAGTACCTACTACCTAGTGACTGAATAATATTTTTTATTTTTAGAATAGTCAATACCATGATGATATGAAAATAGAATAACATCTACAATTGAAAATAAAAATATATAAAAGTTAATATTTGATACATGATACTATTGATACTTAATGAGTAATAAATATTAAGAAAAAGAAAATTATTTAAAAATAAGTAAAAGTTTTAAGGTGAAACAGAAATATAACTAAATAACATAATATATACACTATATTATTATATACTTAAGGGTACGCATATTTATTTTATATTTTTGATATATTTATCAATAACTTATCGATAGTGCAGTTTTAAGTATAAATGTCATAGGTAATTTAAAATATATTTTTAGGTTCACAGTCGTAATAATAATTAATTTTTATTATAATATATATATATAGTATTACTAATAATATGCTTTCCCACGGAAGCCATCGAATCGGTGCCGGAGGTCTGTTTCCGATTTCGCTATAGTCCTTTTTGTAAGCCGGATTACATACTGCCACGTCGGCCACTTTAATCGAATAGCCTCTCGAAACCAGACAGTTTCTGTTTACCGAGAAAAAAAACCAATACGCATTAAATGGATCGTAGTTGTGTACTTGTGTAATAAATCAATATCATGTATAATTTTAAGTATGATAACAATATTTTAGAAGCTTTGGAAAAACGATTTTAGTTTACCTGGCCGCCAAGTCTTTGTGTACCACATTCTTGGATTCTAGATACTTCATGGCCGATGCGATTTGAGTGGCCATGAACATAAGCGTCGTGTACCTAAACAGTAATATACACACTTTAAAACATGATAATTTTTATTTAAAACTACGTCAAGAATACAATTATTTATAGGTTACAGTGTTATATTAATCATTGCAGTCTTTAATATTTCAATAGTTACAATTTTTTTTTTTTACCTTCGAGTATTTAACTAATAAATATTGTATACCGATGGTATATTTTAAGGGAAACATGTGTTCTATCACGATATCTAGCTTAGCTTATAGAAATCGTTGAACACGTAATATTCAGAATGTTTTTCTAGTATATTTGTTAATATCATATTGTTGGGCAATTGGTGTATTCACCATTAAATTCATTAGAAATATCAAAGAATATTCCATCATTCGTTTTGTATTAATCATAATTCTGAATGTTCTGCTGTGTATACTTATTTAAATGTTAGTAAATACGCAGTTTTACAGTAGTATGTATTATATATAACTTACCTATCTAATTTTAAAAATGTAAGCAATTTTAACAAGAATAAATTATATTCAATTAAAAAGAAAATAATTATGCAAGGTAGGTACTCATAATTGTAAGTTTTAGTTGGTATGATTAAACACTTATTTACCTTATTATAAACTAGTGGTATAATTTTATATGATATTAATTTTTTAATTATAAAATGTTAAAGAAAATAATCGATATATTTGTGTTGTTATTATGTATAGAAAAAAATTAATATACGTTATCAATAATGTTTTTGTAATAAAACACGTTCGATTGTATTGGTTTAAAATTTTTTAAAGATTTAAAGATGAGACAAAGTTTTTGATTTATAGGAAATAAAAAATGTGATGCGTTTTAAACTAATGTGATATTGTATGATGGGAGAGCTATGTAAGAATAGTTAAGTTTTTTGTCGAAGAGAAAAAGCTATGTTTTTGATGAATATACAAGTAATTACCTTCTAATACGAGTAATATAATAAAATTATAATTAAAGGTGATTTTCCGAGGGTTTTGCTTCAATTAGTTAAATGTATGTTTTAACATTAATTATTTAGTTCCCATTATGTTGTATACTACTTATAATTACTACCTATATACCAATAAAAAAAGGATAATGGTTATACGTATTGCAGCAAAAATATTAGGATATGTTCTTAACGAGAATAGAATAAATAATGAACTTTTTTTTCACTAATAACTGGCTTAAAATTTGTAATGATATGAAAAACTCGGTGCAAACATTACAAAAATGGTTTATAAAAATAATTCATAAAATATTTGTGTAAGATTTTATTTGAAGCATATAATTTAGTAATAAACTGTTTACATTTTTTAAACATTTTTAGTTACTTCATACAAAATCTGAACGAGTAGTTTTTTAGCTACTAAGATTTTTGTATTGTACATACAATTTATTAAAAATGGTTTAATAAAAATAAAAGATAGATTTAATGTTGCATTTAGTGTTTATTATACTTAGGTTTCTTTTATGAATTACAAATATTGATAGAATAATAATAATCTCTATAATTTTCAAATTACCATTATGATTTTATAACTTCCAAGCTCGTTATCATAGATCTACTATCCTTAGTATAAAAACTAATCAAAAAATTCAAAAACTACTTGTTCGAGTTTTGGTTTTATACATAAAAATGTTTAGAAAAATGATTTACTAAATAGCTTACAGTATAATTTGATAAAAATATGTTTGTATCTTTATTGGTTTCTTTAAATAGTACAAAAAAGAATTTGAAACTATGGTGTTTAAGTAAATTATTTGAAAATTCCAAAAATTAAATTTAGAATAACTTCAATGTTGAAAAAAATGGGAGGTGGAGCATGTTTGATGAATCACTCTGTGTATATATAAACACATTAACACATAAACTATAACTTTACATATGCATTATAAAACAAATTAATCTATCTTTCGGATGTACTGTATTTATACAAAAAGAAAAAAGTTAAAAATATGATAATACAGTAGTATAATATATTTTTCGAGCACAATATTATCATATCAATGTGTTATATCATCTATAAACGGGGTAAATCGGTAATCGACTCACGTGAGAGCGGAGTGCGTCCTTAACACAATGACTAGGTCACCAAGCTCTGCTGGGTACTCAGTGATCAACCACGGCGGTGACTCAGTGGTACACACGCCGAACACGCGCACCAGGTTCGGGTCGAGCAGGCTGCACAGGAATTTGACTTCCCTGGTCGAGTCGGAGTTACAAGTCTTAGCCGCTACACGTCCATTGTCTGTCATACGGATGTCTATCGTTGTCTCGCATACGGTTACTTCGCCCAAGTGCGAGCCGCCAAGTTTACTAACCACATTTAAACAGTATCGCGGTATCTGAACAATTTCCGCTTCCCGGCACTTGTATACTTGGCCCATGCTGGGACTAATGTTCCATGACACCGAAGGAGGTGCCATCTGAAAAGAGATAGACTATAGAGTAAAGAGGGATAGAATTTAAAATCTAAGTAAAATCATTAATAGCTTAATCTCAATTTTAATGAGAAAGATAAAATAATATTAATTGGACTATGCGGTTTGAAAACAAAGTAATGACAATAATAATAACTATGGCACATAGTTTATCTAGCAACAAATAAAAAACCTCATCTAATTGTTTGCGAAATCTGTACAACACGTCATATTAACAAATTAAATCAAATTAAAATAAAAAAATTATATTTTAATTTTAATTCTTTGGATAGTAAGTTAATTTATCGTCATTCGTTTCAGCACTAATCAAATGACTTGCATATAGATATAAATTCAAAAAGTTTTGACGATGTAAACTCATAAATAATCATAGTATAATACGTTTTTTAACGACACATAATATTATGCACTAAACCGTATTTGTACATAATTTAATATTTAATATATTACGGGTACCGTTGTTACTTGTTTGTATATACCATTCAAATGGAAATATGGAACATAAAAATCGTGTTTTATTTAAATAATAATTACTCGTTAAACCTGTAGTCTCTATATCATAAATATATTTTTATAAGTGTATATTATTTAGGTGAAAGAATACGAGTAATGTGAATAATCTGGAATTGCACATATGTATAAATTTCAATGAATTTTATTAATTATTGTACAATACCTGTACAAAAATCATATTAATGTATTAATTTTATATATAATAATGTAATAATTACTTTATCTACGTGACAAAAATTATAAACAATGTCAAACGCAAATTATTGTATTTATCTATGTAAAATACAAATAAAACGATAAAGAATACATCGATACTATACTTCAGCAGAAATGATCGAGATAGTAAATATTGTACCTTCATCAAATTAGTTATAATTTAGTTACTATATTTTAGTGATGGTGTGAGTTATTAGTTGTTCCATATTATAATGTATAAATTAATTATTAAGGTTTTAAATAACTAAATAGTATGCATAATACTAGAATTAATTATACAATATGTCTTTTATTTGTTTATTTATATTATTATTTTTTTATAAAAATAAAGTTATTTCACAATATAATTATTATAGTTGTGTAGTATAAATCATTTAAAAATGGAAAATTCCTTTTAGTGAACAGTATTACATATAGAATAGTAATAATTTATGGAAGTTAAATGTTATTAGTTTGTTCAAGGAATTTTCTGTTCAAAAAATAATAAAGATTAAATTTTCATCCATTAATTATGTTTTTTAGTGCTCAATAGTTGTTTGGTTTACATCCGTTCTTTTAATAATAATAGGTATAATAGGCAGGCATCTATTACAAAAAAACATAATGTTTCATTATTATTGAATTAAATCGTATTTTCTACGAAAAATATCACTTTATACTTTTTATAAAAAAGGGAAATTAATCAAGGTATAGACTATAGATTAGCACTAAGTATATTTATTGATATTGTTCCTTAAAATGAATATATATATATATACTTGGTATTATATTAATATTATAACGTAGGCGATCAATCAAATGGTACTAATATATTGAATTTTATTTTATTTGAAGTCAAATGTCGTTTACTCGTGCCGGAGTATAACATATTATTTGTGAAACAGCGGAAAAATTTCCGAACCGATATAAAAAAAATCAATAATAAAATACAAACTTTGTATTGGCTAACGCGAAAAAAAACATTTGAATTCCTTCAGTCGACCCCTACCATTGACAGTCAGGTATAAATAATCGTCAGCAAAAGTCCCTCACTATTTACGTAGACATCTCGTTTCTGGCTCGTGTGTGTGTGCAAAGTTTTACTTACCCTGTGCTTTTCGCGAGGCGCTGTGTGAAACCTTTTCCTGGTGACCGGTACGTCGGTGATGTTGCATTGGAGGTGTTTTGGCCGAATCAGGGCATCGACCTGAACCGGCACGGGTGGAGGCGGCGGTTGACTCTGCAAGCTTCGGTAGTGCAACGAAGTGACGCTGTCTCTTGTCGAATATTCGGCGGCCCGGATGTCGATTTCCAGACTGCTCAGCGATCCGCGTTCCGAGTCACTGCGACAAAATTCTTTTGCAGACATCGTGCTCCTTGCGTCTGAAATTGAAACGCATGTCTTTATAATGTACTATTATATCGTCGAAAACAAATAAGCCCAAAAATGTTCATCGAATTTTGTCCTCTTTTCAGAAGCATTCATAAAATAAATAACATTAATTTTTTTTTTCAGGATCTTACAGTTTATGTTTATATTTAATAAATGGCAATATTTAGGCAATTTGCAATCTCGTAATGGTTACTCGTTGCTTTTGTTTTAGTTTTGACTAGGGCTAGGATTTATATGCAATAAAAAATTGTAAAATAAGCATTTGGCTTATAAAAAATATGCAAAAATATGCAATTAATATAATATACACCAAAATAAAAATAAAATATACATTTAAAAAAAATTATAAGGTTTAAAATTAATTAAATAATATTTTTAGCTATTCACGCTATTCAAATGTATTACATAAAACAATTATACGTTGTTTAAAAATTTTCAAAACTGAACGGTTTTCTATTAGATTATAATATGGGCATAGTTAGGATTTTAATGGGTAGAGGGGAGGCAGTTGATAACCTTTTTTTTGGTTAGGTTATTTGATGACTTTTTTTTTTTGCTTTTTTCATATTTTATAGTAAAATTTTTAAACTTGTACGTTTGGTATAAGAAATACAATTTAGTTTAAAGCGCAGGGGGGGAAAGTCCACCCCTGCCCACTTTCGCTACGTACATGGACCTAATCTAACCTTAAATAGGTATTTTTGAACAGCGTCAATACATATACTGTCGTATGATAAAAATGTCTAGTAACGAAATATACCATAAAATATGCATTTTTCGCGTTTGTATAGTCAAAATATACAATAATATTAATTTATTCAAAATATGCAAAATAAAATCACCACTGTTTATCTCATCATGAGGTGATTCGTGGACATTACTTACATAAGCAATAATCAGAAGTTGCAAAAAAATAAACTGTTTCATATAAATCCTAGTCCTAATTATAACTCATTAATGATATAAGCGTGAGCGTGGTATTTATGGATATTGGGCTATCTAAACACGCGTTGCAGCTGCACATTTGTTAATAGCACCACCGTCAAAAAATTAAAAACATGATTTTTTTCTCAAGTCACGCTATTGAGAAAAAAATCTTATGTGCTGAGTTCTATGGTTATATTAATTTTTGGTTTGTTAGGAAGAGGATGATTTTCTATGGAGTGCATTAGAATTATGTTCCGTAAAATAAAAGTAATAATAAAACAAAAACTTGTGAAAATTTGTCATATTCAAAATTTTATTATATGGTTTCGAAATAGAAATTTAAAAATTGAAATGTAATACGCTCTGTAAGGAGTCGTTCTCATTCAAAAAAAAAAAAAAAAATAAAAAAAAAATATTGAAATTTGATCATCTTACGAGGCGTGAGTTATTCTTGTAAGATATGTTTTCGGGTAAGTAGCAAGTTACACGCAAGTTCCTTAAAACACGATATTATTCGTGTACAAAATTGATCGGTGGGAGTTGGGAAGGATTTTACAAATTTTTTAAAATCAATTAAGTTAGGATAAGTTAATTTTTAATTTCATTATTGTAAATCATTTTCTTTGGAGAAGTTGTATACCTTCATCTCACGGACTCATGAAAGTAAATTTGCTCTATATCTTTATGTAACATTCAAAATACTTTCGAGTGATCTTATATTAACCCAAGAAAATATTGTTGTACTCTGATTTAAATTCGTTTATTCCATGTACTGATAATAATCGTATTCAAAAATACAGTACAATAGTTCATGCGGTTTTTCACTTTATTTCGCTGTCGATTTATCTATGCAAAACAAACGATCGATAGAGACTTACTCGGGTAATATTAATTATTATATTGTTTCCAAAATACGAGTGGCATTGTTTAATTCGAAAGTTTTATGCACAGTGGCAGCTAGCAGTTATGCATATTTGTATTTATGTATCTTTGAAATATTGTTTTGATACTCTATATTATATGTACAAAATAATAATGACGTGTGGTGTTTTAAGATTACATCGTGATTAATTATTTTGCTGCCACTGTCAAGCAAATGCATAGTTTTAGTGAAAAAAAAATACAATAATCGCATAGGTACTATGGTCATAATTGTTGGAGGTTTTTTTTTGTATTTGAACGGAGATTAACATTGCAAAATAAACAACTATTCTGACATTGTAAATATATTGTTCTATTATTATGAAAGGCGATTTTTAAAACATTGTTTTTTTTTCAAATTGCACGGCTTTATGAAAAATTTAAAATTCTTAAGAATTATTATCACTCATTATTTACGCAAAATTATTATTTTCCACTTTTTCATTCAGTGGAGTATCAAAAATTGATTAGGAAAATTAGTTAACTTCTCAGTAGGTACTACTTTATTATGCGTATAAACCTTATGTTTATATTATATAAATACCTTTGCTACTCCTAATTGTCTCGTAGTCTTTGCGGGCTAATAGTGGCGTTTCGTAGACGACATGCTGTGATTTGTCGTAAGTATCTGACGCGAAACTATCGCTACGCATCTGTTCGCCGACCGCCAATGGGTTCTCTGTGATGTGGCGATTACCGCCTCCGATGACCAAACTATGATTGTGGTTGTTGTTTTTGTTGTTAATAACGGTGGTAGTGTTGTTGTTGTGAGGCGATAAGTTCATGAATATATCCTTCATGTTGATCGCTACTCCAAATGGCTTTTTGAATATCGAAGTGCTGATGGTCTGATGCTTCTTGCGGCGACTCAGAGCTAACACAATGGCGCAAATACCAAGTAAGATGAGCGTGGCGGCCGTCAGCACGCCGATGAGCACTTCTACTAGCCCTCCACTGGTCCTGTCATCCTTTTCCTTGTGTGCAGCTGTTAACATAAACGTATTTTATTTAATGTACAATGCTTTGTGTTCAAGACTTACACGTTTATAGATATTTATTGCATTTTCTCGAAGCAAAGAAAATAATGTTCATCCTTTATGGATGTATCTCCCACGGGGATAGCATATACGAATATAGTCTGTCCCTGCGGGATTTTCCGTCTAAAATGGAACCACCCGTCAATAGCATCTTTCTTGTCTCTCGTCCGGAGAAAGGTATAGAATTGAACCTATTTTAGCCTGATTACATTTGGGTTAAAAAGGTTTAGTTCAAATTGCATTCGGATTTGAAAAAAATTCTATTCGAATTGCAAATTTGCACTCAAATCGGTCAGTCGGAATTGGATAGAAATGTAACATGGTCAAAAGTGCAAATGAATACATTTTTTTAAAAGTTATTTCGTTTAAACAACGTATACTCTAAGGGCTAACAATTATTTAAATTTAAGAATATGGTTTTTAGTAAATTGAATAAAAAACATCTGAGATTTTAAATCCAAATGTACGTATAGATAGACTATTCTATTGGATTGAGACATAATGGTTTATGTATCCCGTCAATAGAATTAATCTACGATTACTGACAGCAAGATAACGCTTAAACGGACATTTGTTTCGGGTGCTATTACAGTACCTTTTTTAAAATTAACATATTTATTTAGATCACAACAGACCTTTTGAATAGGTATGAGTGATGTAATAGTATAGGAACCTTCTACCAAGACCAAAAAAGCATAAGACGAGTGGTGTGCTTTTAAGGATACTACAGGATAAATGAATAAATAAGAAACGATATAATATAACGACAGCCGTTCTACATCAGGTATTTCCATGTATAATATATATGTACTTCATAACTGCGTTTCTAGTCCGAATATGGAGCGAGTCGTCCCTCCGGGAATCGCGCCTCGTTAATAAATGATGCCACCCAATCCACTTCTACCCTTCCCCTTACTACCCAACTAGGGTAAATCGAATAAAAAATAATAAAAAAACAACAACAGCCACATGAATATATTAAAAACACTTACTGGTGTCGGGCGAGTCCCAAGGCGGATCCACCGCTCCTCCAACCAGCTGCTCATCCTCGAACGGCGCGTCCGCGTCCACCGTCACGTTCTGAGCCAACGGTTCTGCAAAAAAAAAAAAAAAAACAAAAAATAAATAAATGAAAACCGAGAATCGAGAAATAAATTTACAAAACACTCGTACAATATTCAATCCAAAACGCGAACGCGATTTGTGGCGATTTATGCACGTGCTTAAACACGCAGAACACAATAAATCATTGTGACCATCCTCCCATTCATCTTCTATCTTATTTTTTTTTCTCATATCATATAATATAAACATAAGGTAATAAACTACACATATGGCCTGCCTTTATGTGTATTTATATTTGACGGCAGCGGATTTTATGACAAATAATTTAGGGTAGAAAAAACATATTGGCACTCTTTGTTGAATATTTTATAAATTGTGTCGTACGCGCGTGATGTGATAAACAAAAATCGCATACGCAGTGTCGATAAATTAGTACGCGATAGCGAGCATGGCGCGTGTGATTTAGTTTATATTGTGTATTACACTATAATTTTATTATGTAATTATTGATATGGTTTACCAACAAACAACAACAACTCTTTATATTTTCAGCGTGGTATATTAAATTGTCACCAAATGTATTAAACTGAAGCTGTTCTAGAGAGTTGCTGTAGTGTAAAAAAATGAAATGAAAGAAAACAAAACTCTGAAAAAAAAGTAATTAATTTTTAATAAACAGTAAATTGTATGCAAAAACAGTCATTGCATAATTATGTCGATCGAGTTTTTTTTTTGCACTTCGTGGTTAGGTAATTAAATTATTTTTAATTTTTGTGTAGATGTTCTACTATAGGCCGCTTGAGTTAAAAATTGTATATGCTTGACAAGTGATAATAATTATAATAATAAAAATAAATATTGAATTCCAAAAGTATAAAATGATTAAATTATATGACGAGTAGTCAGTAGCGTAATTGAGAGAAGTGGGGGAGGCAATGTAGCAAATGCACTCACCTCACGATCCTATTAATTAGTATTTAGTACATTACCTAAGTATTATATATTTTCTCCTGATTATTTCAAAAAATTCTGATAAATGTATATTTGACCTCACAAAGAACAAATTACTAAATTCGTTTTTTATCATTAACTTGCTTCAAAATTAAAAATGTATATTAGTATAAAATCAATAAGGTAGAATAGAAGAGTATTATAGTATATATCTAGAGTATAATAGTTTTATTCTTGTCTCTCCTCACTACAAAACTAAATCAAATACACTACACTGTGAGCAGTTAAGTGTTTTTTTCCATAAATTATCTGCACTAATTATTTTGACCTAACTGAGCTGGAACATCTTGCTCTTCTTTTTATAAGTACATAAGGAGAAATCTATATATTACGATGCTATAATTGACGTAAAAAATAAAAATTACGTATCTTACCTATAATACACGCACACACGTCATATACATTCATTGCTCGCGACCAGTCGTCGCTCGTGGGTTTTTGTGGTCTTTAGGGGTGAGCGGTTGTAAGACGGAAGGTGGGGGGAGGGTGGTAGAGAGCAAGAATTTAAATAAAACTGAGTCCGTTGTGCCGGAAATAAATAGCTTCATAAGATGAGTTCCTATATATACTTTCGCATAATCCCCGCTCCATAAATAACCCGCTTATAAAGAACGAGAGAGGTATACCCGGTACTCGGTCATAACTTATACACATACATACATATATGCATGGTATGTGTATGTGTATATTATGCGTATGTACGGTGCTCAGCGGTCGAATAAATGATTCAGCTTTCGTACGTATTGTGTGTGAGTGTGCGACTCGGTGCCGGGTGGGACGGATGTGCACAGAGAGAAAGACAAAATAATAATAAAAGAAAAAAAAATCGCAAACTTTTTTGAAACTGCGGTGGTGGCGCGCATATATAACGTACATGCATATTATTGTGTATAATATATGTATTTTATGAAACCGCCCCGTCGGAGACGGAAGACTTAAACTTGCCCACTGCGCTTCCGCGTGTCGAGCGCGCGTGAAGTCTCTCAGCTGTCAAGGTTTCAGAATATTGTGACTGTTAACTATTACCGTTGCAGCTGCTGCTGGGTTATATTATGGATATACTACTCGTACAAAATGTAATATAGTATATCGTTATAGTCATATTTAGTAGCGGCGTTGTCATGTTGATCATCTGTGTTCTAGAAAAGTCTAGAGAAAAATGGCTTTATTTTTATCAAAAATATTATGCGATTGTCATTGCGATCACAATAACATCATCAAAATCAAACACAGGAATTATTACTAAGAGCTGTAAGATTTAATATTTATTTCAACGCGTGTCACGAGTGGATTTTAAATGTATTTAGTTTAAAACTCATCCATCGTTTTGAGTTAATGATCTATGTACACGTTTAACTGCTGTTATAGATTACAAAAATGGGAAACAAATACCTTCATTACTCAGATGTATTCAGAAATTGCATAAAATAGCGTATTTGATTGTATTTGTACAATTAATTTCTTTTTGATGTTATTGTACGTTCGAACAAATGGAAATTAAATTTCAGAGAAAATATTTACATACGGATATCGTACATACAGAATCTTTGTTGCACAAAGGTTTTATTTTTAATAATAAAACGATGATTACATAAAATGTATAATAAAGTTCTTTGTTACTTTAAGTGTGTTTACCCGATAATACATAAATAAATGTAAAAACATTTCAAATTAGTACGGTTCTTGATTTTACTTTGTTAATATTGAGATTTGCGTTGCATACGCATCTTTATTATTCGTGCATTTTATATTGATATAGTGTGTACAAAAAGTCCAGTGGAAAATGCATATAGTATTATTACATGAGTTTTCTTACGACCGGAATGGTTTCGAACATGGCACGCGGAACGAAACTTTTTATGTGTTGATAAACAACGTAATAAATTTAATGATTATAAGCTTTGCCGCCGGCAATACACGATTTGTACAATATAAATATAATATATGTATGGAACTTCGAAGGGGTTTCTTAGTAAAAATTATTGTTCATTCAAAGTTCTACATTTTTAATAACGAATTATTCGAGTGAAAAATAAATCGATGTTTCAAACAAACTCGTATATTTGAATAAATTAAAAAAAATATATTTTATCAGATATAGTTGAGAGTGTATTAATATTATCATAATATACCGACATTGTTATGCATTTATGATTCCTATTGTGGGTTTATCAATTACTGATTTATATAAGATATAAACTGAATTATTGTTCAGTATACTTAGTTCTACATATCGGAATACGAAAAGATTTTTCGATGTTTTGTTGCATAAATATAAATATAATTAGGTATACATTCTGCATTACTATTTTCTTAAAACAAATTAACATAATTATTAATAGTTAATAATTTATGTGTTAAGAAGATCATTATTTTAAAGGATCTTTTAGGTAAGTGATATATAAAAAGCTTACTTTGGTATACATACTTTTTTAAAACTATAATAAAAAAAATAATTGCATTTTTGACTTTGTATTTTAAAATCTCTGTATAGATTTTTAATTTTTTGTTAAAAAAAAATATATTTTAATTTATCTGTTTTAACCACTTCTTAAATTTGGAACTTCTTGAAATCCCAAAACTTAACCTTAAGGTTATAAAAAATATTTTAATTATTTGAATCCTTTTTGGAATCGTTAAAATAATTAGTCTCGGTTTATACATGCGTGGATGGTATACTACTACGATGTCGTGGTTACACGAAATTATTCAACAACGTCAATCCTCATGCAGATGTCAGTTGTCCGTCAAATACTATTCAGAATGTGATGATAATACTGTATTGGATTCTATTTGATTGTATATTAACGCCACATGCAGATATGTCTGGGTTTGATTTATACTTGTTTTACATGGTTAAAAGTTCTAATTGTCATTAAAACAATACATCGTTTACGCGTTGCAAGACCGTTCATACAATTACAGGTCGATTTTTTTAACGTTGAAAACTAGTTATTTTGAAAAGTATTCCATTTATTCTAGATAAGAGGAGTAAACGGTACACCCTATAAAATTGATGCAAAACTACTTTATTCATTTAAAAGTTTAATACTTAGTAATTAATAATTACTAATATAAATAATAACAATAATAATAAATTATTCAATATACGAAATATATTCATACATTTGATTTAAAAAATATTCACCAACAAATTCAGCATTTCAAAATTTAGATATTAATGGATTAAATGTAAGATTTTATATGAAAAAAATATGGACTCTACAAATAGCGTTATAGGATTGTATTTAATATAAATTCGCTTCCATATCCCGGCTTGGATCCCTCAATAATACGACAGAATGTAGTTATTATGCCTTGATAATTCAAATTATTTTAATTTTCATATACTCACATTGTCGTGATTTATATGATATTTAGATGATCTTTCATGTATGTATAAAATAATACTTTAAATATAAGTATAAATTGTCAACGTACGTTATACGTATATACAATACTATATAATAAATAGACACATCTATAATTTATTTACGTATACCAACCGTAAAACTACATAATATTTAAAAAAAAAATACCTGTATATTGCTCAAGATACTAACCGAATACCACTATCTTTATGTAATTATACAATTGATTACTTAACTAACAAAGTTAGGTTTAGTGATAAAGGCATTCCCAATAGAAGGAGAAGGGTAGAAAGTGATGTTATACCGGAAACTGTGAAATGGCCATGGTGTAGGTAAATTGCCTATTCCAGGTTCCGTGTTATATTTTATTATCGAGATGCAAAAAGAATATTACACGTTTTATCAGAAAAAAAATCATATTAAAAGCATGCATTGCGTGTACAGATCACCTAATTAGGTTTTCACGAAGTCCATCGTTTTATTATCTATATAAAAGTAAATAAGTATCAATTATGATCTATGTAGTTCTTACCGGAATCAAACTTCACTTCGCTTATCATTATCCATTTGCTGTAGAAGTAAAGTTGGATTTTCACGTACTTGCCAACATGATTATGCAATTGTATGTCAACATCTCTCGCATTTTCTAACACAGTATCTGGCATGTATGTATACCAAACAGATCGTCCGTGATAGTGTAGTCCACCCACACTGAACTGTATCCTCGCTTTTGAGAAAACCTTGTGGAATGAAAAAAAATATAAGTCATAATATACAGATAGACAAAAATATATATGGTAAAAAATATTTATTATGTTATGAAAGAAAAAACGATAAAAATAATGTAGATTAGATGTTGACTGAAAAATCAACTTAAAAATAAAAAATTGACTAAACAGTCAAAATAATTATTAAAGATCTATGAAATAGTTCTGCTTTATAATAAATTAAGGATGTATAATATAATCGCAGTCACTATTTCTAAGAATACTTTATAATTTATATTTTATGTTAAAAAGTCTTAATAACAACAAAATAAAGTAATTATTTTTGTTTAAAATACTTATATAACTTTGTTAAAATTTGAATTTCAAATATTTATAAAAAAAGATTATACATATTTATTTTGTACTAATTTTTATTTTATCATAAAAAGCTACCTAAGTTAATTTATTATATAATAACTGTAGTGTATTCTATACTAAATTTTACTATGAGTTTTTCATTATATATTTCGCGAGTTAATTTTTTTAAATACTAACTTACCAATTATAGGTTTTTTTTTTTTTTGAGAATTTGAACAGCTGTATAAGTTTAAAACATTCTGCAATTTTTTGATTTAGTTTTAAATTTAAATGTTTAATATTGAAGATTTAGGGTTGGATATTGATACAATACCAAGCATTGTATATAAACAGCTGGATTATTGAGAATTTTAAGGTACATAAAAATTGATTAAAGGTTAGTAAAATAAATTTGTTAATGATTTCATTAATTATAAAATGATTTTAATTATTTGCGGAATTGACATACTTGATATAAGATATTTAAAACTAGTAAAAAGAAAAAAAATGTTAGTATAAAGGTAGGTTTATTATTTTGGTAATATCAGCTACTTTACTGCGCAGGAAAAGTAATAACTCAATTATGTTTATTTAAATATTTATACCACGAGCAAATTTATACTGCGTTGCCTCTAGACATTTTACTTTGCACCCTTTTCTATAGATCTCATATCGTTCTACCACTAAATACCAAATTGTTGTCATTAAAATTTTGTTGCAAAAATAAATTACGTAAAACGATAAAATGAACTAATTTTTACAGTAAAAATGTTGCCTATGCATTGTTCGTATTTTCATATATACATATACACATCCGGAATAATATATTATATTTATAAAGGCATACCTACGTTTGATGTTCTTATAGAATTTATACAAAAATAATTATAAACTATGATTAAAAATATTTTTCTTTTATATATTTTTATAAATATGATGATATTTCCAATTATATTTATTCAAACATCAAAAATATATCTATATTTGTTGGTAAGTAATCAAGAGATTAAAATTAGTAAGGAAAAAAATCAAATATGTTATTTAATATTTTTTGATTTTTGTTTGAAAGATTGTATATTTATAGTATTTTTTTTAAGTAGCTTGTAGCGTTTATACAAATACTTAGTGATGATAATTTTAATAATTTTTACATAATCATATTTTATAACAAAATATGCACTTACGCTATTTTTTGTTATGGATTTTTTCTATATATATATATATGTATATATCATGTACCTATAATGCATGTCTGTTCGTGTCAGTTTTGATTACAATATTATATTTTATGGCAATAGATGTATTCATAATTAATATTATTACAAGTGATTAAAGATGATTATTGGTCAGGTATACCTATTTATATGATATTGTACACAAACACGGACATACCTACAATAATTCAATATCCATATTATAAAAGTTTAAAATATGCATCAACTAACAATATACAATTTTAATGTTTAGTATAATTAATTTTACCAGTATATTATATTCTATTTAAGTTGGGTAAATATTAGTAAAAATAGAAAACTTATAAATGATTATTGGAGAAAATATGGATATAAAATAATTTTTCGTTATAATTTCAAATACTATTTAATTGGTTTTGATTGGTATGTATTGTTAAAAATATAATGGATATAAAATGACAACGAAATATAATATTCATCACTGAAGGACAATTTCCTATTCGTGACGTTCTGTTATAAAAAAAATGTAGATTATATCTAAACACAAGGTAAAATTATGTTTCTCATTATTTAAAATGTGTTTAAATATACATTATTGTTGGCCTATACTATATAATTACTATATACAAGGGCCGCGGTAAATGCCTTTGTTGTTATAGTACTATCCTTAATGTCGGGTTAGGTTTATAAATTTTACGTTATTTCAAGAAGTACCAATGAAAATTTTCAGCAACACTAATGACTATAATAACGTGTAATATGCGTGTATTACTCCTAATTTCTAAACCTTGAGAAACATTTTACACGATTACAATTTTTGATTACTTATAATAAACAGTTTGATTTGGTTGGAAAACTTATTCAATGTTTTAATGCTTTGTTTTACTATTAAATTTACTATAAGACTTTTATGTCATCAATACAGCATAGTGTTATAGATGTTAATGAATTTTTATCTTCATTTTTACTTTACACATCATAGTGTTGAAATGTATGTCTGTATTATTATATGAATGTAATACATTCTAAAAATCAAAAACTGTATTATGGTTAACATGTGATTGTAAAATGTATCGATTGTGTCCACGTAATGCAATCAGTGGGTCGTGTGGTATTACGTAGCAGAGGTTGGTACCATCTCTTCCTGGTAAGCGTAGGTACTACACAGACACACCGTATATCACGTCATGTACGGCATGTTTTATTCGCCTAGTAACCGTTTATTGTTGTTATTATATTTCTGGAGTAAATGAAACATATACGATTCATAAATCTGCCACTGGCATTACGTGGTCAGGCCTTAAAAGGTCTTACCTACCGCGAGGCTATAAATTTTTGTCAAAACCAAAAAAAAACGAAACCAGCCGTTTAATGGAGTCTCGTGGACCCTATTTCAGCGCCCCCATATCGTTTTTACGCACACA